GTGTGCTGCTGCAGGAGGAGCCGCTGTTACCGAGTCTTTGCGCTGTGGGATCTAGCGGCAAGGAGATGTTCAACGTGTGAGAATCAAATAAACCAGCGCTCAGAACAGAACCCAGGCATCTTGCCTCCCGGCCCCCTGTGCTAACCACTAGTGCCTGCTTCCCTCCCCGAGCCAGAATCCAGGAGTCCTGCCTCCCAGATTCCTGGCTGGTTGGGGGGCAGTTCCAGGAAGGGGGGAGGAGGCGTTTGCTCAGGCTGCACCCCCAATAGAATTCACCCGTCCCCCCACCCCCTTCCCCACCCAGCAGCTACTAGAGCCAGTCACAGAGGTGCAGAAGGGAGGGTTCATGTGGGAAGGGGGAGCAGCGAGGTGCTGGGCCAGGGCTGCAGGATGTAGCCACAGGAGGAATTGCTGAGGCAGCACAGGCGGCGGGGCACCGGCATTTGCTTGATTTTTCTAAGCCACGAGCCAGCACCACAAAACCGGCTCTGACACTCTCAAGGGCGCTTCACGTCGATTCCCACGCGCTGCCTCGACGAGAGGAGTAACAACGGTAGGAGAGGTGCAGCTGTACATTTGACCTTGCCAGGGTCACCTTTAGCGCAGATGCCGTGCTGTGGAAGTCGACCCACTTCCGTGTTATTTGCTTGATTTTTCTAAGCCACGAGCCAGCACCACAAAACCGGCTCTGACACTCTCAAGGGCGCTTCACGTCGATTCCCACGCGCTGCCTCGACGAGAGGAGTAACAACGGTAGGAGAGGTGCAGCTGTACATTTGACCTTGCCAGGGTCACCTTTAGCGCAGATGCCGTGCTGTGGAAGTCGACCCACTTCCGTGTTTCTTAAACCGTGTTCCGCAAGGCAGTTGGAGGTGTGCTGTGGAGAACAATAACTTTTTTTTTCTGCACAACAAAAAATCCTTGGTGTTCCTCATTAAAAAAATATTGTTTGGTGTTCCTCGGTCTTAAAATGTTTAAGAAACACGAACCGACTTGAATTCTGGAGGGGGTTGTTTCGCAGGGATCTGCTCTGGCCGGCACTTTCAACTCGGCTGCGCTCCAGGTGCAGAGGAAAAGCCCTGGGAAAATTTGAATTTCGTTTCCCGGGTGGGCAGCTGTCGTGTGGTTTGATTCATTTGAGATCCAAGGGACACCAGGACACGCCAGAGCTACTCATCCACTTTCTTATTTCGTGCAAGCTTTCAGCCGTTCAATTTCACAAGCCTGCAAAACAATGACTAGACAATTTAAGCCAGGGCTGGCCAACCCGCAGCTCGCAAGCCGTGTGCAGCTCTTCCCCCCTTAAGTGCGGCTCACAAAGCCTCCCCCACAGCTTGCAAAGCTGCCCCTAAAAATGGTCCCTTTCCCCTTCTCCCCCATGCTCACCGTCCGGCACGGTAAATCAAATGGTGTCGGTAAGATCGGCTGGCCTTACCACGAGGTGAAATGAGGGTGCCAGACTGTGTGTGTGGGGGGGGAGGGGGGGGGTGCACTAGGACCCAGAGTGTAGAAAACTGTCTGCTGCTGGTGCCTATGTATTCTCTCTGCACAGAGATGGTGGAGTGCTGAGCTGGAGGAAGGAGGGCACAAGAGACATAACAGGCAGGCAGGCAGGAGAAAAGGAGGCATGGGGGCATCATTTGAGCTCCCTACCTCAGGTGGGGGCTTTATTTGGGCTGCCCGCCTCAGGTGCCAAAATGTTGTGGGCCGGCCGTGGGTACTTATAACTTTTTTTTAAAGGGGTACTTGATTAAAAAAAAAAAAAAAAAAAATA